ATCATGCAGATGTAGTACAATATCGAAGGTTATAACAATTCTGTTTCATTATTCTGAGAAAAGCTACGCTTAATGAAACCAAATGGACGACGTATTAGACATACCTTCAACATAAATAAACTCTAAATCCTTCCACGGAAGGACAAGCACACGCTGTGTGAAACGTGTAGGTAAAAAAATCGCGTGTAATCGTAGATAGAAGCGTAACGAGGAAATTAGGTCAATGACGAACGAATATCGAAAGGAGAACGAAGCAAACGAAGAAAGAATGAAAAACTGGCTGCGAAAAACCGAAGGAAGAGACAGTGGATTGTCGAAGAGGAAATGTCGCGTCGCGATCTTGAACCCCCTAATTCGCCTCGCTGTTCTGGCATTCTCGTCCTCGATGCTTCTGGTATTTGAATCGCAAATGGAACGGCCGCTTTCCTCGGTTTAGACTACTGCCGTTTTCTGTGTCAAGGATACGAACTTTCGGTCAGGGTACGAAAAGCCGGTTCATCTTCGATGACTGCACCTAAATACCCTCGCTTATTAACCGTGGCACAGGACGCCGTGTCGTTTTCTATCTATAGAGTTCCATCTTATCGGAATAGGTTCCGTTTCATTTGACGTCGTGAAAAGGCTAAAGAGAAGTTGCAAGGTGAAGGAAGTTTGCCATGCGTGTCCGTGGTCAGACAAAGCTGAATAGATTCGGCTAAAAGCAGATGAAACTTTTGAAATGTTGATTCTACGTTCTTCACGGTGGCAGCAAAAATTCAATCGGAAACGAGTGATCGGCGAGTATCGATCTTCAGAACACGTTATCAAGTATAACGTTAGGAATTGTAGAAAAAATTGAAAGTTTCGTATGAGATATATTGGGAACTTTTGACAATAAGATGATCATTTTTTCGTCCTGAATTCTTCGTCGTTTTATTGTCGAATCGATTGTTATGAAATTTTATTAATAAACGAGAATGAAATTGTCGAAGGTTTGAAAGGTGCAAATGAATAAGCGCGAATGTCAAAGTTCGGCTAATAATCGTTGATAAATTTTATCAGTAAGGATGAGCGAAACGTTGAAAGGGATGAAAGATGCAGAAGAAGAAACGTAAGTGTCATATTTGTGGTATTCTTTCGATTGGAAACGTTCTCGTCAGCGAAGAAGCCGTTCATACGATTCGTCAGCGACGCAATGATAGCTTGATTTCGCGGCCTGCACGATACTTGCGATAGAAGGTAACGTTTAACGCGAACTTTGCAAGGTTTCTGCTCCTTGACTCGTCAGGCCGCGCAGTCCTTGCTGACGTTGTGACCGTAAGTGATAACCCATTTCTCAATACTAATTTATCTCCAATGAGAGAAAAAAAGAAACCTCGTGCATGGATAAAATACGGTGCTTGAAAAAATTCCGTCAAAAATATTAAATGTAGATAGTTGGACAGATAAACGGCAGTCGAGGACGCGCGCAAGTTCAATTGCAGGCGCTTGCAAAACTTTGCTTGTGTTACACGTACACACGTACGTAAGTACGTGACTCGAGAACCGAATTTTCACCCGTTTCGACTAATTTTCTGAACGATAAATCGAAGAAGCTTTATACGTTCGAAGTTTAATTCCATTCGATTCGAAAGATCGAATTTTCTTTCATTCACGAATCATCAAAAAGTAGACAAACTTTGACAAATTATCGATTGATTCTGATCGATTTTCTGCCGCTTTATCGCAGCAGCCCATGAATTCGACGAAGGATCGGAAAGATCGGAATTATTTGTAATTCGTTATTTCGTAATCCTTTCCGCGTGTCTATATTTGTTAAGAAGTAAGTATTGATATATTCGAGAAATATTATAATTCCATTTAGAACTACAAATGCTCACCAAAGGATGTTTTCATTTACTCGAAATGTCACGACAAACGTTTAACTTATTTGACATCCTTCTATATCACTGGTTTTGTCCGGTGATCATACGTAAGCCCGCCACATATAATTCTAAGACATCGGTGAAAATTCCGCGAACGAACTTGCACAGTGCAAAGCTCTCGAATTAATACACTCGGACAAAGTGATTCTCGATAGTGTAATGGACTACCGCGATGGATTCTATTTGCGGCAAATTGCATTATCTAGTGACACGTGGTGCGATGACGTGAAATGGAATCGATAAATCGTTGCTCTGCCGGCTACCGCGCGACTAACCATCGATCGTTGTTTGCTCGAATTACATGACGTCAATTGACCGCGAATATTCGGCGACGTAGCTCGAGGAAAAAATTCGTTTATCCTCCGAGCCACCCACATCGAAATTCCAACAATGACAAATTTAATCAAACTCGATATTCGAACCTAACGACTACGTAGCTTGTCCAAAATTATCTACAGCAAAGGGAAAATAGGGAAAACTGAAAGTTCTTTTTTGGTGCCTAATTTTATTTTCTTATTATTTCTTGCGATTTTTTATTTTGCATCGGTTGTTAATAAGATTTGTACGAGATTTTATTAGTTTGATATTATTTACACGTTGCTGTATTAACTGATGGTTTCAGGGACAAAAAATTGTGGAGATTTCGAGTATAAGAAGTTTATTCGGCGTTATATCGAGCATAATTTTTCGAGCTTTTAATATCGTAGCAGATAATGGCTGAATATTTTTTCTAGATTACGAATTCTTATTTCTTTCTTTTTCCTGTTTTAAAAAACTAACGAAAACTTCCACTGATACAAAATGATAGTTTGGATAACAAGCAATCGTTGAGATTTGAAAAGACATATTCATGGGATGTGTTATAGAATTAAACTATGTCGAATATACAGGGTGGTTGGTAACTGGTGGTGCAAGCGGAAAGGGGGTGGTTCTACGCGAAAAAAGAAGTCGAAAATATAGAATACAAATTTTTCGTTCGAGGCTTTGTTTTCGAGAAAATCGACTTTGAATTTTCGTTCGGTACGCGTGCACTTTATCGCGTCTCGTTATAATGGATCTCACTGTAGATCGTTGTCTCGATTGACGTTATTTCTTTAATTTTTAAAATTTTTAAATTTTTAAATTTTTAATTCTTTAAATTTTTAAATTTTTAAATTTTTAAATTTTTAAATTTTTAAATTTTTAAATTTTTAAATTTTTAAATTTTTAAATTTTTAAATTTTTATTTTATATTTTCGACTTCTTTTTTCGCGTAGAATCGTCCCCTTTCCGCTTATACCACCAATTACCAACCACCCTGTATTATTTCATTGAATTAGGTAGGATGCGTTTCGTTATATTTCTATTATTACGTTGGTGCATAATTCAATAAATTAATATAAAACAAAGAACGTTATTATCATCTATTTATTTTCTTCTAAAACGAAAGAAACTTTTCAGACGACCTAGTATCACACGTCCTGTGAGACAGCCTTTATATTACCAATACCAATTTCAATGGAGGAAGTAGAAAATTTCAGTTTGCTTTATAGCTGAAATTAATTAATTAATTTTTTTAATTTTTCCATCGAGACAACGATCTACAGTGAGGTCCGTTTTAACGAGACGTGACAAAGTGCACGCGTACCGAGCGAAAATTCAAAGTTGATTTTCTCGAAAACAAAGCCTCGAACGAGAAATTTTTATTCTATATTTTCGACTTCTTTTTTCGCCTAGAATTGTCCCCTTTCCGCTTGTACCACCAGTTACCAACCACCCTGTATAACGTTGCAATTGTTCGATGTCGTCAAACATGACAACTAACAGCTAGAAATTACTCTCAATTTCAAATTCTTATTTCCTTAAATTGTATACACAGGTTATTCGCACGAGATTAGAATCAGCTTGGTACAAGGTTTTTAATAATCTAGGTTGATGATTTCAGTGATAAAAAACTGTCAAGGAATTAATATCGATCTGAGGAGTCATATTCGTGGAACGTAATATGACATTAAACTATGTCGAACTCGATTATGTGTGTGTTTGATATCGTGTCTAGCAGTAACTTAGCGTTCACGATATACATCTGGTAGAGCAGCGTTGATTCTCTGACAAAGTTTCAAAATCCATTGAAACGAATAGCAGATATTAAAATTACTATAAATAATTGAAATTAATTCAATGTTTCGCTATTAACAATCTTCTTCTCTATTATTTCGTACATTCTATTCGATTAGAAAATTGCTCGTTCATGTTGAATGATGAATATGACCTAATTGTTTACAGTGTAGTATATCTTCTGATGGATTTCATTTCGAAATGGATACACCTTGTGAAAAGATTATTAACGACGAAGAGATACGCGAGCTGTGTGTTCGACTGCAAAATTTCATTTTTGAAATGATTCTCAAGGCCTTGGAATATAAACTTGTTTTGCTGAAAGGTGGCCGTTTAATGTTTCTCGTGATCGAACGATCCGGAATTTTCAAGCCGGAAGTAATTAAATCTGCTTCTTAATGATACACACGCTGCTTTACGCGCGTGTACGAAGAAATATCAAGCAAGGTAAACGCTACAGAATTTCTACGTTGAGCTAATAAACTTTTTATGCGATTCCGATGTAGATCAGCGAACTTATATCATCTGGCATCGATATCTGTCGATATTAGTCGACGTTTTCTTTAGATTATCCACACGCGATTCTAAACTTACATCGATACTGAGAAACATTTTTTACATAACTCGCGTAATCAGCACGATAGAATCAATTTGGTTTTGATGGAGAAACAGTAGGAATAATATTAGGATGTGTGGTAACGAAATTTTAACGAAAAGATAGCGGATAAACTTGGTAAAAATTGTAAGATAATCGCCAGTTAAGTGGTCTTGGATTCAAGTTTCCCTTGAAAGAACTTGTCCATTCCTTTCGACACCAATAATTAGCATATCTCGGCCTCTACTCGAATTTTGCTATGTTCTATTGTAGACTATACGCGTTAACAGTATATGCGATCGATATATTTAGTAAATAACGTTATAAATAGCAATGTTCTATAGACTTTTTCTAATAAAAGTAGCTTCGTGTTGCAGGTGAATTAAAGAAAATAGATATTGATCTTTTCGTATCTTTTATTTATAAAATATACTATTTTTAAGTATATTAATAGGAAATCTTCTTAAAACTATTTGAAGTGATCACCTTATGTAACGTCGATATACAGGCGATTAACAAAATTTCCGACCTGTTGTTTTACAAAACTTAATGATATCAACGTTTATCGGAAAAATCTTAAAAATCAAGAGGAAACAGTTATCACTCGATACAGTAAACGATGCTCTGACAACGACATAAACAATTCCATATATTAATAATTACATAACTTAATGCATATGCAATCGATTTTATACACGTGCCCGGTTAACGCTGTATCAATGTATTTCAATGCAAATAGAATCGATTCTACGTCAATAATTAGCAAACGATGACAATAATTGCGATTCATTTCCAACTGCAATCCTTCGTAATCATCGTGCAGATGAAGAAACAATTAAGTTTGACTCACCAAAACAACTCCCTTCCTACTTCGCTTCTCTTCTCCGTCTTCTTCCAATATTGTTTGGTTAGGACGTTGGAACGATCGAAACGGCGAAAGATCGCGCGTTTCCGCCTCGAGTCAAGAATGAAGGCTGTCCTTGATACCGGAGTGCCAACAGAAACTACGAAACATAAGACTAAAATATTTCAGTATGCTTGAGCCGTACACGATTCCTATACAATCGACTAGGTGCATTATTGACTGTGTGCCAGACGAGCCTCGATATACGGTCGCTGCCGAAAGTATTTCAACGCGCGTTATTATACTTCCATAATGTGGAATTTCAATAGCGCTGCAACGAGGCTCGTCTATCTAGGCGATCAGATTGGCAAAATTTGAAACAAATCTCGAGACGTAAGTTTCATAATGATCATCATCGCGAAACACTTTGGAAAGATCAACACAGTGTCTGAACGTACTCAGTTACTCGCTAATAATAAGCCACGATGTATGTTTATCTTTGGTACCAATGACATGTTTACGGCTATCTATACTATAGACGTACTAATTTACTACTAAATGTATCGTTGCAGTAAATATTTGATAACTTTCATGTAGATTTCCAGGTCGCATCCAAATTGTGCGAAGCGTTTCGTCAAACCGCTGATAAAGTCTCGATACGTTTTACGTAACACGCACGCATAAAAGTTTTCTGTGACGTTGAAATACTTCCGTGAGCCACTACTGTACGTAGAATATCGCCACAGGTCTTCTATTCGACGCCGGCTCTACCTCCTTTAAAGGGTGATGTACCGCTTAAACGAGCATCGGCGTATTTAAAGTCGTGATATCGATGCGATGGCTGAATAGAGGAACAATGTCAAGACCTTCGATTTTTACGACACACACAAGAATTTATAGAACGTCGAGGGAGAGACAGATTTCGAAACATTGAACGGAAGAATAGTCTACGGGGTGGAAGGAGAACGAGGTGATTTGCTTTTGTCGAAATACGCGGTACGCGGGGCTTCAAACTTTTTCTAATTGGAGAATCGTCATGGAATTTCGATTCGTTGGCATAAATAGTACGAGATGCCTAGTAATCGAATATAAAGAAAATATAAATTTTTACGAACAACAGGCAGTTAAAATGCAATGCCATTTCGTGGTAATAAATGTTGTAGGATGTTTCGGCGATTGAACGATAATAGAATCATTTTTTTTTTACTAATTATGAGAGTTGGAATGAAATTTCCCTCTGGCAAAGTAAATGATGTAGGAAGTGACCTTGGAATTTTCGTTTGTTTCTTTTAATTTGTAGTTTGTTTATCAGGTAGCAACATCGAGATTGAAAGCGATATCACGGATAAAAATACGTGTCTCGGTGGAAAATTGAACAACGCACGAAACTCGAGTCAATTAAATAAGCCGCCTAGCTACGAGATGAACCGACCGCAACCAGTCTTGTCTCGTATTATAGGCCGATTAGGTAGAAGTCAGCTTCGAACAGCTTTAACAACACCTTCGCACACACGTTGCTTCTTTTCACGTAACCTTGCTGCCATTATCTAACCAGGAAACGTCCTATTGACTAATATTGTTTGCAATACCATTATTATATCATCGCTGAGGTGGTCATTATTGCGCAACTTTGCTGTTGCTGATATCTGAACGATATACCGCGATATTTATCGAAGTTTTATTGCTCGTTTAACGTCGTTCTATTTGTTTTTATCGTTCACTTTTGCAAATCTGTAATATTGCTCACAAGAGAGAGAGAGAGAGAGAGGGGGGGGGGGAGAAAATTAAAATAAAAATTATCCTTCTCACTTTTTAGTTATTTCATTTCTAGTTGTGTGTGGATTTATGATCCATTTAGTTTCTTAGAAATAAAAGCGAAACGAATAGTCACATAGACAGGAATTAAAATAAACAAAGGTTCGTTTTCGAGAAGAACGTGGATCATCGATGAGGTATGCGAGCTTCCGAGTAAGAATGAGAGAATTCAGTCCACTTTCTTGCCAGACCTTTCCTCTAAACTAAATTCTTTATACCATGGATACGAGATACTACCGAAATACTAGAAAATTTCTTGTTTAGAAAATATATTCAACACAGAGACGTTCAACAAGGAAATCAATCTACGAGTGTTATACTCATAATCATGAGGTATAACACAATCTACGACCTAAACTCTACGATAATTTCAGTAGATTTTAATGTCCTCCTTTAGGAAGCTCACATCAACCATCTGCCAACTACCTACTAACAAATACTAGCGAAGTAATCTACAAGCACATAGAATCACCATCGAACTTTACAAATTACGGTGCTCATAAATTTCATGAGAAAATTTCCTACAATCCTTTTAGTCGCCCTTAGAAGCTTATGTCAACATTAATTTCACTACTCGTCTCATATTTAACTTGTGTAGAAAGCGCATCTATTGGCACGTCGACTCGCTGTTCTACTTTAAAGATATATAATGTACTTCTTACGAAAGACTTCTCAACAATTCCAATCTGTTGCAAAGGCGTACACAAAACTAACCAAAAATATTCCTCTAAACCTCGCTCGATCCCCTTTAAAAGACATCAAGAGCAATCGGAACCTCTTGCATCTGTCTCGTACCACTACTTTTAACTTTAACCTGCTTGAAACGCACCTACACAAAATTTGTTGGCACGTCAGACCAATGCCTGTCCTCTTCTCCTTGCCGCGACTTCTGTATCCCTTTGCTCCCTGTTTTCGCATCGATCCCGACCAATGCCAAGAACGGTTGGTTCGATCTCGCGGATCGCCCGTGACCCCGGCTGCACTTTCCGCGCGCAACCCCCGTGCGGGAAATTGCGATCTCACCTTCGCTCGACGGCAATGCCAGCCAACGACCTTGGCCTTGCCCGAATAAGACGCAGCCTTGGCGACCAGGCGATCGATGCGACCGCCACCGCCAGCCG